CACCTGTCTCTCAAACCGAGACATATGCAGATCAGTGACAGCACTCATCCCACACAGCTAGAGAATGTGGGAGCTGCACGAGGCGTAAGTATGCTGGGGCCCAGCCCTCTCCCCACACGGCTGCAGTAGGAAACCTCAACTCAGAAGTTAAGATTTCAGTTCATAGGCTTAATGCCTACACATGAGAAATAATGCTTATAGGTATGTGCAGACTGTTGTCCGCAATCAGATGCAACTGATAATGTAATTCCCTCTATTGTCATTGTTCAGTTTCTCTAGGAAAAACTCCACTTACTTTACTAAGCCCAACATTGTGGTATTTCTTTTCCATTATTTTCTTCACTGGTTCCTCCTCCTTGAAAGTAATGAAGCAAAATCCACGCCTCTTGTTAGTTTTGTTGTCCATGGGGAGTTCTATTGATTCAACCTGGTCGAAGACAATGATTTTATCTTTTACTCTGCCATTCATTCAATTTAAAATCCTTCAAACAGATCATATTTGTTAACTGAAATTATTTAGACTTGAATATGATAATGTATGTCCTTCACAGGGCTTTACATCGCTCAAAACCAAGGAAAACATCACTGACTAAAAACAGTGTTCAGAACTGTGTGAAAGACCTTTCCCTCTAACTTACAGTATCATTTCTCCATTCAGGAACTTGTGCACAAGGTGCACAAAGAATATTTTAGTTGTGCTGGATGAATAGTCTCAGTCTGACTTTTGGTTTTAACTCAGTTAAGACTGAAGTAACTAAGTATTTCAAACCCTGAGCAGACCTAGTCCTTCAGGTTTTGTATGAAAGATGGAGCTTTGTGCAAGTGCACAGTTCTGTTCACCCACAATGCTGCTAGAATTGTACGTTAACAGGACAAATTTACACCTGACTACAAACACAGGCTCTCCTTACATACAGCATATGAGACTTCAGCCTAGGCAAACAGTGGCTAAAGTCTGTAGGCCTGAGTGGACTGTCTGTAAGCGTGTAATGTATGGCAGCGATTTGGTGACCAAATTCCCTGACAACAAAGGTGCCATGACCTGACCCTGGCAACGTCTGAGAGCCAACAGAGAAGCAGCAGCTGTATCAAACTCTTACAAGTCCAGCTTTCAAAAACTGCAGCACTACTTTGTTCATCTGCACCACCAAAAATTGGGGACAGAGAGAGACAGACTGCACAGTCACACAGGATTTAGGCAAACTGCCTGAGTCTGTGAGTTGGGGTGGCTGAAGAGCATCCCACACTTCAAAAATGCTGCTTCCCTCTCTGACTTATCCCAGCTCTTCTTTCCGTTAATCCAGTCTGTGCAGCTCAAAGCCTGTAATTAGTCATAATTTTAATGATAAAAGTCTTAAGACACTTGGAGCCACACTGGCCATGCAGCTGACAGCAGTGTCCATGCAAGCTGGGGGCTGCTTTTTATTACTACATTTATGAGGACAGAACAAGATCACAAGTAAATGCAGTTCATTTCAACACATACCTCACCAAAGCCTCCAAAATATTCCCTTATTTTCTCCTCAGGTGTGTCTGGAGATAAGCCCCCAACAAAAATCTTTTTCACAGGTTCTTTTGTTTTCATGGCTTTAGCTCTTTTTGGATCAATGACCTTTCCATTCAGCTTGTGTTCTTTCTGGTCCATGACCTGTAGAAAATCAAAACACAGTCTTAGAGAGTTCAAGCTAGATGTTTCACTGATGTTTTGAGCAAGGCACAATTATTTTATATTTAGTTTTGTTGATGCTGTTGCCTCAATTTCAATACTTTGCAGCCATCGTTTGCTGCACAGAATGTTCCAGGATTTTGAGCACTATGCACTGACACAGACAGTTCCGTCAAAACTTTTCAAGGGCCACCTGGAGTCATGGACTACCCATGGGAAGTAAGAGCATAACATTTCTCAGAGAGTACTCTACAATCTCAGCCTCAAACCTTATGAAGTAAAGAATCTGTACGTTAGATATCACACCTCAAAGAAGGTGAAAACTCTTCCCTGTGCTGAAAAGTAACAGCTAATTTTTGCTTGGCTAGAGCCCAAATCTATCAAAGCTATTGGCTCTACTCTAGGGGTTCACACTGCAGCTCTGGAATGCAAAGACTTGAAGTTCGTTGCAAATCACTGTTTTCACAGCAGTAGGCAGCAGACATTTATACAGAGTATTTTTCAAGTGCTCAAGTCCAGTGGCTTGCAGCACACTCCCCTGGAAGTGCCCAAAGCCATACCTTAGCAATCACTGCGGGTCCTGGCCACTGCATCATGATGGTTCAGGAAAAAACCTCACTTCAGTAAGCATCTAACAATGTGCTGGTTTGAGCTGGAGTAGAGTTAACTTTCTTCACAGAGGCTAATATGGGGCTATGTTTGGATTTTGTGCAGAACACAGAGTTGATAATGCAGAGATGTGTTTGTTGTTGCTGAGCAGAGCTTACACAGAGTCAAGGCCTTTGCTGCTTTCCATACTGCCACACTGGCAAGGAAGTTAGGGATGCATGGGAGATTGGGAGGAGACACAGCTGGGACAGGTGACCCAAACTGACCAAAGGGATATTCCATACCATATGGCATCATGCTCAGTATATAAGGTGGGAGGAAGAAGGAGGAAGGGGGGACATCTGGAGTGATGGCATTTGTCTTCTCAAGGAACCGTTATGCGTGATGGGCCCTACTCTCCTGGAGATGGTTGAACACCTCCTGTCTGTGGGAAGCAGTGAATTAATTCCTTGTTTTGCTCTGCTTGTGTATGCAGCTTTAGCTTTCTCTATTAAACTGTCTTTATCTCAACCCATGGGCTTTTCTAGTCTTTACCCTTCTGATTCGCTCCCCCATCCCATGGGTGGGGGTGTAAGTAAGTGGCTGTGTGGTTCTTGGCTGCTGCCTGGGGGTAAACCACGACAAACATATATTGTATCCCTGAACCATCTCTTCAGCAGATCATGTACAAATAACTAGGCATTAAAAAAAAAAGTCACCTGAGGGCTTTATCTTTACTACCTAGAATTGCACATGTTGTTTGACATGAACATTACCTTATCTACACTCTCGGACTCCTTGAAGAGCACAAAGCCGAAGCCTCTCGACCGCCCAGTGATGGGATCCAACTTCAGGGTACAGTCTACAACTTCACCAAACTTAGAGAAATAGTCCTTCAAATCCTTCTTTGTCGTGTCCCAGCTAAGGCCTCCGATAAACATTTTCCTGTTGAGACAAGATGTTGACAATCTTTATCGTGTGTTACCCAAAGACCTTTCAAACTATGCGAGCTCAACCACCTCATGCAAGGAATTAGCAGTGTGCTATCAGCAATTACACCACACACACAAACCTGCACTTTCTGAGAACTTGCTTAAATGCTCCTGGCTAGGTCAGATAAAGATTTAGAAGTACACAAGAGTCTGGCACCATCTTCTGCTGCAGTTGCTTACTCTGCTATCCAATAGTGACAAAAAGATGATTTAGTACTTCCTTGCATCCCCACCACAGGCTTAATTCCATTTAGTTACCTGTGGAGCCTCCACACAACTACTCATGAAACACACACAGGCAGCTCAGATTGATAAGGTTTAAACAGAGGCATTTATGTACTAGTCTGGACTAGACATCTACTCATACTAGTAAACTAAAACAAACAGTTTAGCCAAGTTCCCTTCCCCAGAAAGCAATAAAAAAGCAAAGTATTGGATGGTCAAACTTATTTTCCCTTACAAAAACATGATTGAAACACCTGGCATGACTCAATACAATCAAGGCAAGGTCTTCCCAATACTCCTACAGGACCAGTGTTGCGGGGCACATGTGTACATCAGGGAATTCTGATCATGACATCTGTTTCCAGAAGCACACCGGAAGTTTAGAATCCAATCATGACTAGTAAGGCAGCAAAAAAATTGAAAAAAAAGAAGAAAAAATCAAGCCAGTCTGCACACAACTGAAACGTCCCTGGTTTAGGCACAGGGCTTATGCACCCATTCAAAAGAGGATTTGATTTGAGATGATCTCTTCTAATACTGATAAAGATTTTACAGCAGGTTCTAAACGAGTATGATCCATTATGAGCTATAAAAATGTTTTCTACAAAGCTCTGTCCATTTTCACTGTACCAATTCATTCTACAGCCACACACAGTTATTAGAAAACCTGAAAAACCACTGTACCGTGTTTCCAGCTCCTCCACCTTCCACACACACACAAATACTCCTGCCAATCATGTAGAATTGTGCTGCACCTCCACAAGTCAAACTCTCTCAAACCAAAAGCTGTTCCTGTGAACCAACTCTGCAGAATTAACAGAAGCATTCAGTTTCTGACAAACACATCCAACCTCCATACAGCTGAGAGGGTTCAAGAGCTTCAGAGGCTTCTATAACAAGTCCTGAAACAGGAGTTCCATCCCCCACCCCTTTATCCACTTTTCCCATGAGTTCCAGATCTCTCTTCAGCAAAGCACCACAAGCCCTTTCTATCTAGTGTGACTTCTCATTGTCTTCAGGACCATATGGGGAAAATGGTCCACACTGGTGAACCAGCAGCCTCACACCAGTACAGACAGCAATTTTGTTTTCTTCCCTTTTGTTCACCCCTCATTAAGGTTCTTGCATTGTTTGCTGTTTCGTGGGGGGTTTTAAGCAGCCAAACAGAACACACAGAGGATGCAGCACTGTATTTCTGACACACGGGGGACAGTGATGCTCTAGCAGTTACTCCTGAACTCTCACTTGCTGTGCAACACACAAACCACCTGTTTTATAGTCAACAACAAACCATCAACAAACACACAAAACCTGTTGTATAGCTATTAACAAACACAACATTAGCATATAAAACCTGTTTTCCATCACTGAGTACAGACAGACCAAGACAGGGGCTGGAAACTGACAGTCCTCTGAAGGCTCTTCTTCCCCCCACGCAGGAACTGTCAGAGAGCAGCAAACCACAACTGCTTCAGTCTGCCACTACCCAAGCTGACAAACCACTGCTCCACTGCCAAACTGAGGTCAGGCCAAGGCTACAGCACAAACATGAACACAACTCAGGTGTGATGCCACAGCACTGTCAAAGACTTGTAAAACACATCCATTTCCCACCCCACAGTTTGGCTGGTCTAAGTCACATCAGCACAAACAGGTTTCCAGAGCAGGTTACCAGAAGCGTACTGGGAAACTCCAGACTTAGGTAAACAGATAGTGGGTTTGGCCTTTCTCCAACAGAGTTGCCAACGTGGCTTTCTCAAGTCCACAGTTCTCACCAAGGAGATCTGAGGGTATGAGAACCTGCACACTGTTTTTTTCCTGAAAACACTGTCTCTAATTCCTAGTGCAAAGAAAACACCAACAACCCACACCCAGCAGCTACCAAGGATGTGCTGATTTCCCTCCATTACTAAGAGAGCTGTCAGAACACTTCATTTCCTGCACAGCATCACCCCTAAGAGTTGACAGGTCAAACAAAAGGACTGACCTAAGCTACAAGTCAAAGTATGACACATGTAACCACTGCTCAATGTCACTGCACCACTCAGAGACACCTTTCCCTAGGCTGTGTTGCCCCAAAACAGCAGCAGGAAAACCCTTTAACAGGTGTGTATGCAAGGGTAAAAAGCAAAACAAACATGCAAACTGCAAAGGTATTTAAAGCCACTAAGAGCAGGTGAGAAGTAACAAAATATTCTGAGTTTTCACTAATCCTAGCAACACACTGTAGAAAGGGTTCCTGATCTCTCTCTCAGCATCATCCCAGGTTATTACAGGAAGAGGAAGACACTTCGGGAAAGTTTTGCAGCACATTATCTACAGGATATAGTATCCTAGTGCTCCTTTATCCAATTTATCTTCTGCCTTGTCCCGAAACAGACCTGCAGCTCCAGTTTCTCACAGGCCTGACCGGAATCAGCATAGAGCATCAGCATCATACTGCAGTGACAGGACAAGGGGTAACGGGTTCAAGTTGAAGGAGGGGAAATTTAGGTTAGGTATTAGGAAGAAGTTTTTTCCTGTGAGGGTGGTGAGACACTGGTACAGGTTGCCCAGGGAGGCTGTGGCTGCCCCAACCCTGGCAGTGTTCACAACCAGGTTGGATGAAGCTTTGAGCAACCTGGTCTAGTGAGGAGGTGTCCCTGCCCAGGGCAGAGAGTTGAGGCTAGATGATCTATAAGGCCCATTCCAACCCCTAAAATTCTACAATTCTATCATCACTGCATTTATCATATGTGAATTTCACCAGGTACATGCAAATGACACTGCCCCATGCCCAGCATCAGAGGGTTAAGGGCTGCCTTCACTCTTCAGACATCACCTCAAACAACCTTCCTCACAGCAAGCTGCACAAGAAGCAGAAGGATGGCTCAGGCTGGGAAGAAGTCCAGGCGCCTCACGCCTCTGACACTCAGCTAACAGCGTTTATGCCTGCAGCATGCAGCTACTCAAACGGGGGACAGGGCAACGCTTAGGGTGACTGCGACCCGAGCGCTGTGCACGGAGTTAGTCTGAACACAGGCGCCGCAGGTTAACCTAAAGGAAAGACGCCCTAAAAGATGAAGAGAGTTCGTGGCTCGGCACACATCGCACCCGGTGTGCGCGT